ACTTTAAGTCTTTGCCTTCATTGCGGCTCGTCTCCGGTCAGGTTAAGGCCGGAGAACCAGCGTTACACGACTGATGCCGCAGGGGATATTGGCGTGTTGTGGGTTGGGGCTTTCGGATGAATTTTATGCGGCTGATGGAACTTAAAATATGGAGAAGAAATATGAGTAAAAAAATTAAATAAAATACAACTCCTTTACAGTTGTTGAATGATACCTGAATGATACTGTCGCCATGCATGCTGTGCATACATCGCGGCCGCCCCAGCCAAACGCAACAGGGAGGCTGCTCCAGTTGCGCCTGCAGGGCTCCCCTCCGCTGCGTAGGGAGGAACCTTTGACGAAAATTTGGGCTCTTTCTGTGGGGATTCTTTTAGGGTGTTGAACATTTAAAGGGAGCCTTGCAGCGAAGATGGCAGTAAGCTTCTCCCTCGGCTGCTCCCACCGGCTCCAGGGTGCTTGTGGGGTGTGCCAAGGCGCAAGGTCGTGTAGCATCTGTACAGCTTCTCCAGCAGCTCTTTTTATTGTTTGCATTAGCAGCCTCATTAATTCGTGTTTCAGATATTGGTGCTTTTCGTGGGGTCATGACGCGCCTGCGTTGTGCAGGGACTCGTATGTGGGGGGGAGAGTTTTAGCTCCCCAATGTGATTAAAGCTGTACAGTTCATTTATGTATTTGCTCTTTTATATGTTTCTTGACGTGCATGCGTCCGTCGTAGACCGGCTTGCATCATCGTGTCGTCTCTATGCCTTGGCGGCGGTGAGGCTGAGTGAAGCGACTGGGCTAAACCACATTTGCCTTCATTGTTTTGTTTCCTTTTGAGGCGCTGCATTTCATTTTGTTCGAGTGAGTAGGTATATTTGGATCAGGCTTTCTCCCTTGCCTACGCTTCCGTCGTTTTCTGCTGCTGCGCGTGCTGTTTGTGCAGGATCGCTTCTCGGCCCGTTATATGAAGCCCTTGGAGGGTGTTCCTCTTTCAGAGGGCGCAGAAAAGAAGCAAAAACGCGATGCGGCTCTTATTGAGGCGCGCAAAAAGGCTCTAAAGGTCATGCGGGAGGTGCGTTCTAGGCATTTGTCACTTCGACGTAGAAGGCTTGTCTCGTGGGCTGCTCGCTCCCTGTTTACTGTTGAAGCGCCTCTTCATTGCCTTTTTGCTTCAGAAAAGAGCCGCTGCGCGTCATGACCTCAAGCTCCGCACATACAAATACGTCAAGGAGTATCGCTTGCAGCGCGAGGAGCTGATCAAGAACAAACGGGAAGCCCGAGCCAATGGTATGTATTACTCAGCCTGCGGTGATCTTCGAATGGATCGCTATCGCTCTTTTCTTCTTTCGTGCTTCATCTTGGATTGAGGATGCAACCTGATGTGCCTACAAGACAATTCTGTCGTCTGTGGATTTTTTGAACCTTTGTTCAAATCGCTTTCTGATCGACCCCTCTGTCTAGCAGATTGCAGTACAGCGTGCTTGCGACCAGTGCACGTTGTAATGTTTTCTGTGTAACCGCGGGGTTGGCGCGAGCCGAGGATGAAAACCCAAGTCAGATGAAGCCTTCGGGACTTTCCTGAAGAATTCAATCAAAAAAAGTTTCAATCGCTTGCTGAAAGCAGATGCGCCAAGCCGTATCATCTTGCTTTAACCCATCCGTCTTGTGTTTCCATGCGTTAAGAGATGCGTCTGTGCGTGTATGCTGGCGTGCGCACACTTCTTTGTTGCGTTGCGTTGTTAACTGTATATTTGTATTTTGTCGAGGTTGCGCGATTTCGCGTCGTGTGTGATTCTATATTCTGTTCGATCTATGTTTTTATATGCTTGGTTCAGGCGGCTTCTACAGAGCCCCAGAGGCAAAGGTCGTGTTCTGCATTCGTATCAAGGGTATCAACAAACTGGCACCCAAGCCGAAGATGATTCTGCGGCTTTTCCGTCTCCGCCAGCTGCACAACGGCGTATTTATCCGCGTGAACAAGGCCACTATGGAAATGCTGCAGGCTGTTCAGCCCTTCGTGACTTACGGTTACCCCTCCCTCTCCACCGTTCGAAAGCTGATCTACAAGCGGGGCTATGGTGTGTAAACATCGCGATCTGTGGTGTTTGGGGTTAGCGTCTTTGAGAAAACAGAAGCTGTATCAATGTCGCAGAGCGCCAGCTATGTACTCATTCATGTTTGGATCCGACTGTCTGTCCGCTGTTGCGATTCAGCCAAGGTTGGTGAGCCCGGATCGAAACAAAGAGTGCGCCTACAGGAGAACAGCATCATTGAGAAGCACTTGGGCAAGTACGGCATCCACGGCATCGAGGACCTTGTGCACGAGATATACACGTGCGGCCCCGCCTTCAAGCAGGCCAACGCTTTCCTTTGGACCTTCAAACTAAACTCCCCAAGGAAGGGATTCAAATGCAAGCGCCACGGTTTCTGCGAGCCTCGTGCCGGTGAGTGCTTTGTATAGTCTTGCGCATCAGCCACTATTGAGAAACCGCTCATCATCCTCGCCCCTGTCTTGTGGTTAGGATCGGCGGACTACTTCTGCAAGCTACATGTTTGTATTTAATTTAAACTGTTAATTTTCATTCTTTGGCGTTCAGGTGACTGGGGTAACCGCCAGGAATTGATCAACGAGCTCGTCAACCGCATGTGCTGAACACTCAACACTAGAAGAGCATAGGGGGCAGCCGCCACCGTCACAATTCGGCTACTAGCTCACCAAAAGGCTGCGACGTGTTTGCGGAGCTGCAGCAGCGCAACAGGCAGCCCCTGTTAGCTTCTCTGCACCGAGCTCAACAGTCTCGGGTTCAGGTGGCTTCAGGGAGAGCTGGGAATATTCTTTACGTTTTGTTTATACAAGAACTGCAGACCCCATACATTGTCTAGCCCTCAGACTCTCCGTAGCTCCCGCGCAGCTGACATCTACAGCTGAGAAACCTTCAGTAGTCAGTATATATACCGTACTCAGGGAGGGTTTCGTCTTTGCACACACTACGCTGGCACCCAGCTATGTGAGCAAAAAATTGTTGCAGTCACTTGCATATACGAGGCACTAACAGCATTGAGCTCGGGGCATAGTTGGCCTTTCCCTATGAGAATCAAGGGTGGTATCCCGCCTCTGCCTACGCTAAACGACGACAGAGTCGCTTCGTGCTATCTACCTACACTCTGACATCAACTGTAACGCTAGATTGAAGAAAGTATTAGAGAGAAAAAAGACACAAGTCCGCGAAGACGAGACCCTTTGATGGCGGTCTAAACTGCAGGGGCTGAGCGGAAAATGCGCCTGCACCCCTTCTTGTGCCACCAAGGAGATGCCAGTTGAGGTCCTGCTCGGACTGAGGAACGTCAGCAGTTTCTCTTGCACCTTCACGTGCGGCAATCTATTTGCTGCAGCTGATGTCGCCACAGCCCACCTCCCGGAACGAGCCGCACCTCAGGCTGAGGGGACCTCGATCTCGCCGGAGTCGATCTCCGCCTGCACGTCGGTGGGAGCCTTTCCATCGACAGTGCATCCAATGGAGGCGCTGCGGGGAAGACAGAAAAGAAAAGACACTGTACTATACTTTGAAGAAGATGCAAAAGGGAGAAATGCAGTCGAACTAAGGGAGGGATTCAAGTCGCCTAAGAGCCCACCATGTGCCCAGAATCTCCTTAACAGTGCCTGAGAACTCGTGAGCCATGGACTTAGTCCGCATGGTGCGGGAGATTTGATAGACTTGCTGCAAAGTCAGGTTCCCGTTATGCTTGATGTTCTTAACTTTCTTCCTGTCCCTGGGGGGCTCCTTGAGCTCTTTAATAATCAAAGAGGAGGCCGATGGCATCACCTCTACCGTGGCCTGACGGTTCTGCACCTTCAAACAAACCGTCACCTTCAGCCCCTTCCACGCCATCGTCGCCTTCGCAATGTCATCTCCTACCTTCTTAGGGGACATACCTGAACAGCGAGACCGCAAACCCTGAACCAAACACTAAATCGGCCCCTCACGCCAAAGGCCTTGCTGCGAAACACCGCACCATAGACACTGCGGAAGCAACTATCCAGCAGCCACATCATGATAGACTCACCCAGAGGACCGAGCTTTGGGGCCAGAACAGAAGAGGCGCCGACCTCACCGCCAGTTTGGCGGAGGTAGACTGCACAGAACGCACGTCCGCAGCAAACAGTAAACGCATGCAGGAACGGTTAAGCTTCTAACACCCCCCAGAAGAAACTGGAGAAACAAAAAACGGATCACTGCTCCCGAGAGCCGCAAATCACATGAGAGGCTGCCCTGGCATGCAAGGCACGGAAGACACCGACGTGGGCGAGCAGAGTGGCATTCACGGGAAATTTTGAGGCTGCTATATATTCAATTTCGCTCTACTACGAGCTTGTAATTTTGGAAGGAAACAAGGGATGTATAACACTACGCGGCCGCATTGTGCGAGGAGTGGGGCGGCGGACTGTATTTGATTTCGTTAGGGTCGAATTTCTTGGCCATTTTCACGAGGTGATCTTCCTGCCGTTAAATGTCGCGAAAATAGCCGCAAAAACGACGCCCCACAGGAAGAAATGCAAGTAAAGAGAGCCGAGTTCTCCCAGGTAGGCCCCCAAAGCGACAGGCTGCCGTTGGGCTGGAGCCTGCTGTCAGCCCTTGAGAGGGTTTGGGGCTCTGCAGTGCCGGCCGTTCCTCTTCCTTCACGGAATGCAGATAAGCAGCCAACTAACTTATCCCATTTGGATTTAAATTGTAAACGGAAGCGTTTATAGTGGTGGCCCACTTTCTTTGGCCTTTTGGTTCTAGACATCCCGGTTTTTCACGAAGTGCGTGGCAGACGTTTTGGTGCAACGCGTGAGCTGTAGTTGACAGCTCTGTAACATGAGTTAGCGCAGAGTTAGCTCAGGAGCCTATCGACAGCTTTGGCATGCTGCGCGTAAGCG